CCAGGGACCATATGTGTAACAATTTTTGTTACCAGCGTGTCGTATGAACCTAGGCAACAAACTTTTAATATAATAACAAGGAAACATAAATTTGATAATAGCAAAAGTTATTAGAAAAAATAAGAAGGCCATGGGTCGAAAATGACCCGAAGACCGCGCTAGGGTTAAGATCTTTGGGTCAAAAAGGACCCAAAGGTCTCATGTATAACAATTTTTGTTACCAGCGTGTCGTATGAACCTAGGCAACAAACTTTTAATATAATAACAAGGAAACATAAATTTGATAACAGCAAAAGTTATGAAAAAAAATAAGGTGGCGATGGGTCGAGGAAGACCCGAAGACCGCACCAGGGTTAACTGATCCCTATGGGATAAACGAAGGGCCAGTTAATCGGAAGATATATGCCAAATATCATGCCAAATCACAGGAAACTGATTTCTACACGCCTAGGAAATAATTAAAAAGGAAAAGTAAAATTGGCCATTTTTGGCGCATCAACTTAAGAAAAACGTGAGCGCTAAGAGCATTACCCTGTCGAGGCCGATAATTCGAGGGCGAACATGCGGTTGAAAATCGCATTTGCGCGCGTCTAGTCCGCTTTGCATAAACATAACGTCGAACAGAAGACACGAAACTGTATCGACGCGAGCCTGGCAATTGAATTTTTCTCCTGTAATGCTTTAGTCGCGGGGCACTTGTTCTCTCGATTGATCGGCGCTCGGCAGGCAAAGTGCTTGGCTCCAAGTTCCTTTGATAGTGAAGCAATCATACGAAGAGAACTGTGTTGACTGGATTCGCGTTGAATATTACCCGGACTCTGTCGAGTATTCGAGTTGAATTGCATTGATTCCGCTGCTACTTTGGAGAGCTGCTATAGTCGCTTGAAAGGGTTTACTTGCCGATTCCTCGAATTACCGTATCGCCTGTGTACAGCTATTCCATGTCTGTCGAAAGATGTGTTACAGGTTGCGCAATTTCGTTGTTGGAAAATCTGCCGAATTATATCTCGATTGCACACGTTCTATCCTATAGGATTCGAAACGCTTCTCACTCTTTACCACTCGATTCAATTTCACATATGAAATCTCCTCGATGTCGTACCGCTGGCTAACTATCGATTAGACACGTTCAACGAATTGGTTTTCCGGCTCAACTAGTATGCAAGTTACGTTTCGGGTGTACCGCAATTAACGTGTTTTGCTTTTGTCAAGTTCTTCCGATTGTTTCACGCGATATTACGTCGGATATAACCCTTTCACTGATATCGGCGCCTGTAGACGTTTTGAATATTTGCTCGAACTGTGTCTTTGAAGTGAATTTCATCCTTAATTTTTGTCCTTTGCGTGCTTCCACCTTAATTTTCAAAATAGGAATTTTGTTAATTTTTCAAAAAATTTTGAAACGTCGAAGTGAAAGATTTTGCGGTCGTGGTTGCGTGTGGTTACGTATCAAACTCTATTGTAGTGAAAGGGTTAAGCCCGAACTGTATGGAATCCTCGTGGTACGATGTTAACCCCTTAACATATGACAACCTGTCAGACTCGTGGCAGAGATTCTGGCAAAGATGTGAGAAAAATAGTTATACTAGTAAGAAAAATGCATTGCGATCCTAATTTTCGTTTGAATTTGTAAGATCAAGGATTCCTAAATGTGATTAATCTGTGACAGGTTAGTTTTTGTTACCCGATACAGTACGAAAACAGAAAATGGCTGACGCTTAGATGCAGTGTCAGAAAAGAAATCATAGGTTAAGGGGTTAAAGTTATTTTGCTCATCTCTTGTTCGAGTTCGGTAATTTTTGCTCAATAAACGTATGTTAGTGGTAGTGAAGCAGTATAAATATTGTATTTAATGCGATAAAAGGGTATTTAATAACTTGAGCTATTAATCGAGTTGGTGTAATAAAATTATTAATAAAAAATCAATAGTAAGACCATTTTAAAATTATAATTGATTTGTTGTAATGTGAGTTGCAATATACAGAAAATAAAAGTATGTGATTTCGTTAGAACGAATTATTAATGATTTTAATAAAACTTCGAATTGAACAAAGAATTTTTTTATACAACATTAAGATTGTTTTTCTCATCTTTTGTTTGAGTTTAAAGGGAAGGATCATTTTAACCCTCTGCTGTCGAGACACCGTTTTTGGGGCGTAAAGCCCGGTGTGGAGTCTACGAAGCTCCTCAACTTCCAGTTAGTTTATACATAAATACAGAACATTTCTGGCAACTTTATTACACATTTTCCTAATGAACATTACAGAATAGAGTGGTTGGTTGCGTTAATTTCATTTTAATATAATAATGTTGAGTTCTAAAAAAAGATAGAATCAGCGGACTCTCTGAGACTCCGCCTCGACGATAGAGGGTTCAAATTGTAATTGACTTGTTGCAAAACATTTTTTCATTAGCTTCAATTCCTTTCGAAATATTCCAAGCTAAAAAGACACCCAGTATATGAATAAAATCATCTTTTTCAATGGGATTGTACAACTTCCAATGCGATAATTACACGTATTTCCCAATTAAAAAATCTCAAATTGCAGCTCCGCCATGAATGTATCATTAAATTCTCTAACATGGAAAAATCTTCAATTGTAAAGAGACAAGATATTCCACCATACTGCACCGTACAATTTCACCGCTCGGCGATATTTCGCGTTATTATAGAATAAAGTATTTAGTGTTTGATTTCATACGGATATCGCGAATTTCTCTTCCACGTCGATTTCCGGGAAATTCACAGAATCGAAGCGTGTTTTTAAAGCTGCATTCGATAGATCGAACGAAATTGTACGCTGTTGATTAATTTATATCGGAGTGGGTTTCCGCGTAAATGATCGTAGCGCGTTCTCTTAGGCAACCGATTGCACTTTATTAACAGGGAAGGTCGAACAGAAATCAAATTTCGGCTCTATTTATAGGGGATTGTAACGGTACCGTGATTGAATTACCGTTTGGTAACAAAATAGACGCCTATGGAAAGCAAAAGCTTGCCAGTGATGCGTAATTAAAGGACACACGTTGTTACGAATATTAACGTATTGATCGATCGTGTTCCACGTTTAATCACGCTTCGCGTACACCGTGTTGACGATGAAATACACGTTTTCGCGTTATTCCACGCGTCCTCTGTTATTTCCTCGATTGCGTAAATGATTTTTGTTAACGGTTGTATACCGCTAACTAAGCTAGAAAGTTTGCGTTTCTATTTACTGCTTACAAGGGAACTTCGGTAACCTGAAAATTCCGATTTTTTTTGTAGGGGACCTCGAGAGAAGTATCGAGCAATTTCTTTTTTGGCCCAATTTTGATTCTTCGGGGTGAAAACCGAACGAAGATAAGCGTTACCCTATTTGCCTGTATATCTTTAAAACTGTTGTTAAGCACTCGGAAACTGAATTCCGCGCACTTGGTGCCGTCTGAAGGTCTGAATTGATCTTAAAGTCTTAGCTGAATACTGATCTGTGATGTGTGTTTATTCTTGACTGTAGTCGTGGTCTGAAATTACCGAAGTACTGAGTTTGAATCTGACTGAATCTTGTTGAATCGAGATTCCTGAGGTATCGCTGGTCGTTCGTACAGTAACACTCTCTTTTTCTTAGTCTAAGTCGGCCTTCTTATCAAATCTTCTAAAATTTGAAGAAGGGACGCGAAGGAAGGTTCCTAAATTACTAAGTGACCAACCCATCCTCACGTGCATGGCGACGCAACACTTTTCGAGGGTTTCGTTTATGTCGCGTGGATGCCGGATATGTCCGGCGCTCGTAATGAAAGGGTTAAATTGAGGTGAAAGTGCACCGAAAGGCTTCAAGAATACAGCGCGAGCAAATTTTCCAAACGCCTATAGGGGCCAATAGCGATGAAAGGGTTAAAGCAACAACGAGGAACTTTTTCGTCGACGTGTGTTAAAAATGTCGTGGCTTGTTGCCGAACGTTTCTCCAGGTTTCTTCGTGCTTCCGTTGCCAGCAATAAATGTCACCGCTTGTTGCCTGTTTCCATTCGGAGCGGTAAGGATGAAAGAAACATAGGAAACACGCGGCAACAGAAACAAATGCTCCTCCAGTCTGTGTACGCTTTGTCACTCGATTCACAAGGCAATATGTCGGGCGATATTGCTGGTCTACAAGTTGTGTCAGCTTTTCGTGTAACAGGATCGATGCGCCGAGGTAGATATTCCAGGTCTGCATTTGACAAGCGTACAAAGTTTCGAAGGTGTCGTTCATAAGTTGAATGCTTCCGAATTTCTGACGGTCTAGACTTGGTCGAACCCACACTTTTCGTTTCTTCTTTTTTTTTATCATTGATAACGACAAATGCTGCAGCTGCGAGGAGCAGGTCTTCTTCAGTCAGTGTGTGCAGCTTGGAACAAACTGAATTGCGTGTGGACAACTTGTTGCTGGTAATAAATGTAGCCTTGAAACTGAAACAGAACCCAAATGTTCCTCAGATTAAGCTGCCTTAGTGTGGATAAAATGTTTCCATAAGTTGGTGTTGGTTGGAAATGTTTTGGAACGTGCAGCAACGAGAGGCGACAAAAAGTTCCTCGTTGCTGCTTCAGCGAGGACGTTGCTGTAGTCTAACATAGGAATATCATAAAGTAATAATCACTATATTGATGAAAATTTGGAAAAAATATTTGATACACATTTTTTCTTATCGACTACACAGTTCAGTTCATTGAACTTTTGAATCAAGCAACAAGCAGCGACATTTGAGCCACTGAGAAGCCAAAATGATTAATTCCACTTTTTTATATTCTTCCAATTTTAGTATCAAAGTGCATGCTTGGTGTTTAATTTTTCACAGATACAAGAAATTTAGTAAATTTTAGTTTATGGAGCTTGTTGCTGGCAACAGAAACACGAAAAACCCTAGAGATACACTCAGCAGCATGCAGCTACTTGTTCAAGATACGTGGAATATTATGAAGGAAAAGTTCCTCGTTGTTACTTCATCGAGGACGCGGAATAACATTTGCATTTTCCTTTTGCAGCCTGAAGATCAACGAAGGTCCATCGACATGGACGACCAAGAGATCCTCATAGATTTTAAGCCAGCGCCGGTGTCGCCGGTTGCGCGTGCCCTTCTAAACCGGATGTCCCAGTCGACGCGGAGATTTCTGCCGTTGCAGAAGACCCTCTCCGACGGTGAAATTCGCGTGGAGAGGCGCGAGCTTATTGGGGAAGCTGGTGAACCGAGTTACCCTCATACGTGCCGGAGGAATCATCAGGACCCTTGGGACAGGACCGTTAGAGCACCCGTCCAATTTTCCTCGACGCCCGAGGACCTGTCCTTGCTCAGGGTCGCGTCGCCCCATGAGGATCACCCTGAAGAGGTAAATATGATCGGTTTCTATGTAACTGGTGAATTTCGTCACAGTAATTTCTCACATTTTTCTTTTCTTTTTGCTTCGTGGTAGTTTATTAGAGGCTTTAGAAGATTCTCATAATTAACCAATTCTGCTAGGAGCAATGGCCGTCCAAAAAGTGCACTTGTTATAGTAACTTTTCACGTTTTTCTTTTTTCTTTCTTCTTTTTGTTTTTTTATTAGAGGTTGTAGAAGATTCTCGCAATTAACCAGTTTTGCTAGGAGCAATGGTTACTCAAAAAGTGCGCGTGTTATGCGGGAATGCAGAGCGTTACAAAGTGAGCACGACGCTAATTTATGCTGTGTGCAAAGTTTCACGTCGTTCTTTACAGAGATGTGCAAATTATTAGACAGATATTTTTACGTTTTCTGCTAGTTTCCTGCGGAAATGTCGGGTAATGGTGATTAAAAGTGCCATACTCATTCTTAAATTCCTAATTTCAAAGTTTTTTGACGTTAATTATAGCAGTTGATCTCTGGAAAATGTATTTACACCATTTCATTCTTTTGTTAGTCAGTTATGAACCATTTGTTAAATACTTAAGGTATTTATTCGTCGCTTTTTCTATTTCTATCATGTTCACCTTTATTTTTCTTAAATTCAGATAATGTTAGTCACATCTTAACATATTTCCAAGCTTTAGTAGCTAATTTTGGGTTTATTTTAATTGAACGAATCGTTATAATCAATCCTCTTTTTCTCTAAAATGAAATAAAAATTATACACACATGATGAGGTTATGGAAAAGCCAAACAATTTATCGCCTGGCAAAATGGTCGCAAATTGATAGTCTTTTAAAAGAGGAAATTTATGCTTATTATTTAAATTTAACGCTAAAGTCTGCAGACAGAATTAGTCGTTTAACCAAACTCACATATAACTAGAGACGTATACAGTAAATTCTCTGCAAGAGTCAGTAAGTTCGGATTCTACAAATGACAGTATAGATGGTCCTACGCCTAGGTCTGCGTCATTGCTGCGCCCATGTTATCTCGCTCCCAGTAAGTCAAGCGTGTAATACTACACCAGTCGGTTTCATGTGGAATTTTTTTTAACATGTTGGTGAGATTTTTCTGATGAAAATGAGATCAAACACGATATAATTTGAACAACATTTACTTATTAACACGTTCACTGTCATTTTCATCAGAAAAATCTCATCAATATGTTAAGAAAAATTTCGGGATAAAAAAACGTAAAATTTATTTTATTTTAATTATTCTAAACATTTGAGGCACTCCAGTCACTGATGACCACCATGGCCATATCGAGGAAACAATCTGATGTTAATACTTATTGAGTGATTAATTTAATTTCATAATATATCGCTTTAGCGAGCCACCGTTTGGTTGCCAATTGTTTATTACATAGAGTCGGCCTACCTCCACGTAAAAAAAAAAAAATTTAGGGTCGATTGCACAAGTGTCAGTAAAATGTAGGGTCGGTTCGACAAGTGTCAGTAAAATGTAGGGTCGATAGCAGCAGACAAGCTGCTAAACAATTAGAATTAAATGTAACGATAGAAATTATTGCAATAATGCGTAATGCAATTGAAAAATTGAAAGAATCAAAAGAAAAAACGCGAATTCATTTCTTTTTCGATTCTAGAATATAAGAAAATTTGAATAAAATACGCGACGAGAATTGGGGAGAAGCATAAGTTAAACGCGTAAAAATATTCAGTAATAAACGAACTAGGGATGAAACTATTATTTCAATACGCGATGCACTGACTCTAGTATTTACTAAAATTCAATAATTCTCGCATACATTCCGAAAATAGATTATTAATTACGGTAAACTACTGAGACTGTTTACTTTAGGGTGGGCATAGTGCACTCGTTCCAAATCAGCTCACAATATACAATAATAAATCAACTAACTACTTAACACGCAATTCATCAAATTCCTTGGATGGTAAATTATTAGTAAACAAAATTCAATATCAGAGAAAATATATGAAAAATTTCAAATTAATTTCAATTGCTGGAAGAAAAGTACATATTGATTGTTATTCTGTAACGAAAAAGCAACCTCTCAAAGTCACTTCAATATCCTATTCGATAAGTCTGAAGAACAACGATGACTAAAATTGAAATGTTTATTTCCCTAAACCTTCAAAATAATTTCGAAATATTTTATTCGAAGCGGAGTATTCCAAGTCAGTATCGATAATTGAAGAAATTATTTGATTGTATTTAAAAGAACCGAAAGGAGAATATTTAAAGTCTGATATTAAATGTCTAGCAAGTACCAGTAATTGGTAAAATGATTTATATTTGTTTTAAAAGGAAAATTTCTAATAGGTATTAGTTAAAATGAATTGTTATTCAGTCTATTGTATTGAAATTCTAATTGATTCTAATGTATACAAGTGTTACAAGAAGGCTGAGTGTGTACAGGGTGGACATAGGCTAGCTAGTAGCCCCCGACCACTCTATGAACTTTAACGTCTATACTCGAAAGTGTATCGTCAACACTAACACGTTACCCAGATTATCCAAAAATTGAAGAAGTTACTTTTAAAATTGAACATTCTACGGTGTTTCGAGAGATTTGATAATCATAGTCGAACCTTAAACGAACGTTCAAACGAAGAAAATTTTCCAAAAATCATTTCGTACGTTATTAATCGATAAAACAAAAATTCATTGTTGAAAAATAAATATTTCCTGAAAATCTTCATCTTCCATACAAGATTCAAGATTTTCCCTAATTAAGAGTAATTTCAAAAGATTATCTGTATAAGCTATTATTTCAATACGCGATGCACTGACTCTAGTATTTACTAAAATTCAAAAATTCTCGTATAAATTCCGAAAATAGATTATTAATTACGGTAAACTACTGAGACGGTTTAATTAAGGGTGGGCATGGTGCTGCTTTAGTTTGAAATGATTTATAAACACATAATTAACAGAGGAAAAACCGTGAAACGGCAAAACGTCTACATTCTAATTGTTATAACATGTAAACAGAACTTTAAATTTAGTGTAAACAGAAAAAATATATAATACAATTTATTTCACGGTATTGCAACAAATAAACGTTGAATCAATATTTAATTCGTATAAAAACAATTATTTAACGTAATAATTTTACCTTCACTATGGCTATTTTTAATCTACGACCACAGGTCAACCTGATTTCTAATCCTTACGAACTTTAAATTCAGTCTAAACTGAGAAAATATATAATACAATTTATTTCACGGTATTGCAACAAACAAACGTTGAATAGATTCTTAATTCGTATAGAAACATTTATTTAAAATAATAATTTCACCTTCACTATGGCTATTTTAAATTTACGACCAAGGGTCAACCTGATTTTTAATCCTCCGAACTTGATTTCACAACGAGAAAGTAATAAGATCGTTGAAACGTACTTATTTGTCAAAGAAACTTGCAAAAATGTATAAATAATAATATGTAATGTTTTAACAAATTTTTGGAAGTATAAATTAATAATAAAATTGTGAAAATTAATAAATTATACGTTATTATAACATTAATAGAATTATGACTAAACCGAAGTTCGAAGTCGAGTATTTAAAGTCTGATATTACGTGCCTAGCGAGTGCCGGTAATTGTTAAAATTTGTTTAATAATTAGTAATAGAAATTCTAATTGATTCTAATGTATACAAGTGTTACAAGAAGGCTGAGTGTGTACAGGGTGGACATAGACTAGCTAGTAGCCCCCGACCACTCTATTCACATCTCAGAACCTTCAGGTCAAAATACGCCGCGAAGTGTCTAGGGCCCAGTATAAAGGGTAAATGATTTCGCGGGACATCGGCGGGTCCTTATATACCTGCGGTACCCTCTCCCCAAAGTCATTAGCAAAATCGTCGGTTAGGTCAGGCGGGAAATTTTCGCGGGAGATTTTCGCGGGAGATTTCCGATATCGTAACACGGTATAATTTATCAATTTTCACAATTTTATTAAAAATTTATACTTCCGACAATTTGTTATAACATTGCATATAACAATTTATACGTTTTTACAATATTCTTCAATGGAAACATAGGTTTTAGCGTTCTCGTTACTTACTCGTGGTTAAATTAATTTCGTAGGGATTAAAAATCAGGTTGACCTGTGGTCGTAGATTAAAAATAACCATAGTACAGCTAAATTTATCGTGTTAAATAATTCTTCTTACACGAATGAAAAATGTATTCAACGTTTGCTTGTTACAATACCATGAAATAAAT